TATTTGTGGTCGCGACACGTTTTTTATCTTCAAAAAACGTGTCGCGACCACAGTTACGTTTAAATATAGACTTATTATACCTTAAACGAACCGCAATAAACACTTAACAACAACAACGTGCATCAACAAGACACAAATACGTCAAACAACAACAGTGTACACTAAAAAGATAATTTTGTTACCCAATGCATTGGAATAAGAATGTATTCGAGAGCATATCTAAACGGCATGAATTGATAATAACTATGGGGCGTCCCCCAAATATAGACTGGAATGCACCATGCGAAATGCAAGAGCATAAGTTATATTGATGGTTAGGCATAAACAAAGCCAATCCAAAAAGGGAAAATACTAAAACAACCACTATAAAACAGTGGGGAAATGTAAGGCTCAACGGCCTAAATTGACGAAGCAATTACTGACCCAAAAATAGGGCTTGCAAAGGTGCATTGAAATATAAATCCAGAAATAGACAGGAGTGTCGAGCACTATAATTATACAAAGACAAGTACCCGAAGTACAAGAAGTGCATACAATAATTAAACATAACCACCGGAGTCAAAGTACAAATTTACAACTAAACCTATGCCAAGGAATCAATACTTAAAAGAGTGCGCACTCACCAAAAAGTCACTTTACAGCATGCAAGCGACTTAGAAGACAGCCGGAGCAGAAATACATGAGTGACGCCATGTTGAAGACATTCCTCACACCGTCCAGTTGCTGCAGTTAGCTTGCTGCAGATTGTCATGCAGGTCAGTGACACTCCCTGCTGAGCCACCTTGCCCAGAGAGGTGGACACAGGAGGATCTAGGCAGTCCTGGCCTCTCAACAAAGTGGGAGTGTCCTGAACTGGCCTACCCTCTGCCTCTGCAAGAAGGTCTGCCAAAGTAGTCAGAAAGCTCGCCCCATCATCCTGGCAGTTCCCATTTTCACTAGCTGTCACATTTTGGATGGCAGCTGTTTTAAGTCCAGCAACAAATTGTGGAATAGTAGGGTCACTACTGGAACCACAGGTTTGACGCACTTGTCCAAAGAAAATTTTCCAATGCATCTTGATTACATCTACGGAGATTCATTTCTTTGCAACCCAGTTTTTCCATTTTCTTCCAGATTCTCTCATAGCCAATGAGATTTATTTGGAGGGCCTCTAGGCAGGGTGGAACATGGTGCTCACCACCCTCTTTTCGTATGTATACCCAGTTTTTCACTCTCTTCCTTGCCTCTCTCCAATGATGGCGGTGGAATGAATTTGCTGTGACTTTACATCTGAATTCCTTTGGATTGTCTTTTCTTCCAGCACCGTTTAAGGAATCAAATAATTTATCAACCTCACGAAGAAATTCTGCAGTTGGCTTCCAGTCCTTCTCCTCCTGTCAACTGATAAAAAGTATCCATGCCAGAGGCAACCTTTTGGCTAAGGACCTGGGTGGACAGCTTGACCCTCATTTTATTTTTTCCAGTTGGACAGACGTGAGCATATGATAACGATGATGTCTTGCAAATTCCTTCATCCATTTTATAATATTCTATGATATGCTTCCACTCTGCCACCTGCCCAGGCCCAAATTCCAGATCACTTGTTAAAAGGTTGTTTCTAATGTTTTTCAGAACATGTGGAGTGTCCCAGGTGTGAACTTTGATGTCACCATTAACACAGTACACAGCAGCTCCTTGAGGGCACATACTGCGTAGTTTTGTGATGGCTCCGCAATTTGTGGACCCCTGGTCTGACACGGTGAACAGCACCTTGCAACCTATCCTCTCAAGGTCCCTGATCATATTTGGAATTAAAATGGCCAACATGTCAGATGGACAGGTTGCATTGACTGGATAGTATCCAACAGGGAATTTGAGTTCTTCTTCTATACCCTGTACCATGAAGGTAAGAACATGGTTGGCCTTTTTGTGGGTACGACCTTGAGGTCCAAAGTCTTCAAATCCCTCTATTATTTGAGTAGGGTATTGTAAAATAATACATCCCAATCTAGCGAGGTTATGGTGGTACAAACATCATGATCCTATTTCCTTGCTTTAAGAGCATTAACATGTTCATGTTAATGGTATGTTTGATTTCTTCGGTTCACAGTGGTGCAGTACGGTCAAGTACGATGTACCTCACTCCTTTACACATGGTGAATGACACTCCATGGACTTACTACGAATCATCACTGTAAGTACTGTGTATTATCCCAGTTGTCTGTACACCTGACAATGCAAACCTTTGTTTTGTCACCTCCAAACTTGTTTTCCATTATGTCCCCTCTAACGCATTTTTCTGTTCTTTTGCCTTACAGGATTACTACAACTTGCAGTCCCACATGTTGGGTTCCATGCACCAGGTGCTTCAAAGTGCCATTCAGACTTTCAAAGAGATAACACGTTGTTGTCCACAAAGGGCCTAAATCTCTGACAACATTTGGAAGGTGCTGAAGGGTGTGTAAGTTACATGTCATATGACGAAGTCCATATCGTTCCTGATATTTTTTTTACATATTCAGTGAGCAATATTTGGGATAAGTTGATGCTAGTATCACTGATACTTTCTTGACACAGGAGCCACAATCCTTCATAGAAAAGTACAAAATGATTAAAATGCTAGATTAAAATTTGGTGAATTTACTTTCCAACCCTTAACTTAAACACTTCTATGTGTTTAACTTTAATGTTAAAAACTTTTTTAGTTTTCAAAATCCAGTCGAACCCTTAAGAGTGTACACACTTGTGTTGAGCACTTGCATGTGCACGCCAGTTGCACACTTAATTTATCATTACAAAGTTTAGTTATTCATGAGGACGGAAACAAGGGGAAAATACGCGCAAAACTAAGGACCCAGTAGTTACTACAGCTGAATGACAGAGAAACTGTAGTTTAACTGTAGTTAGACCAGTAGCTCGGCAGGCTGAGACCCTTGGCATGACACTGCGCTGCTGTGGCACCAGAGCTATGGTGTCGCAGTGGCTCAGTGGTCAGCGTGTCGGGATCCCAACTGCAAAGACCGAGGTTCAACTCCAGTCAGCATCCAGGCTTCAACTTCAACATTCGCAAGGTAAAAATGTAATAACTGATATGAAAAACAACGACCTAAAAAGCGATACGGGTAAATAAGAAAAAAGTTCGAAAAAAAAAATTGAACAAAATTTTTAACACTATACTTTTCAAATATTTGATACTTCAGTGTTTTTTCGTTTAAAACTAGTAAAATACTGTAGATAAAAGTACTTAAGTGACTGACATAAAAACTGTCAAAAAACTATAGGTAGTCCGAAAAAACTGGTAGTTTTTCTATAGTCTTTCTGCACTAAAAGTAGTAAATTCTATACTTAAACTGAAGAATTTTGCAGTATTAGTAATGTCTAATTCCGGTTTAAACACACTTTACTCTCTCCTTTTTCACAATTTTAACTAGTGTTATGGGTACATCTAAAACACAGAAACATCCTAGAGAATAAGTGAAGATCCTTCCACCCGGGACGTAGATGGACAACATATGGGTTTAGATTATCTACTACCACCCCTAGTTGGCCTGCAGCAGTGGCAATACCAACCGCCTGACGGTGTGTACATTGACCTTCACTAGTAGCGGTAGAAAGAATTCATCTCATGTATTGTATCTCTCTCAAAACAATATTCTTTGCTATGGCATTTTGCAAACATTTTTGAAGGTGACCCAATGTGCGTGTGACAACATTTGTCAATGTCCCGGCGAATATTATGCTGTCTTAAAGAGATTTAACACAGAAACCCCGTTCCACACACTATCTACTGATACTGTTGTCACAGCTGTTGTAAAATGTGAACTCACTGGAAAAATTGATTTAATTTCCATCAGATCTCTGAAAGATGTATGTGCTAGAGTTGATTTCAACGATACTTGTTACCTTGTTTGTAGGCCATACAGGCTAAACCTTGAATAAGCATTAAATTTTGAATGGATAGTCAATTTATTTGTGTCTGCTTATTAACGGTGCCCATTCCCGGTAGACAGGCGCTGTCACGCAGGCAAACTGCCCTCACCTGCCGCAATTTTGACGGGGGCAGGGAGGAAATGGGGAGACAGGGGTACTTTTTACGATGGCTGGAGAGGGACTCCAGAATGTCTCTAAGCGGGCTCCGCCACGCCTCGAGGGCCCCTGCACTGGGCTACGGGCCGTCTCCGCGTTGTATCCAAACTGTCTCCAGCGTCTCACTGGCGGCTCCATTCGGTCTCCAGCGGTTGTCTCGATTCTGACTCGAAAATATCTCCAAAACGAGACATAATGCAGACGCAGTCGAGGCGTTCTGCTCACCTCGAGAATGTCTCGAGGGCACCTCAATAACAACTGCATAACGTCTCATACATCGCCTCGAAACTGTCTCGAGAAAACCTCTGCGGTCTCTCCTCAATGACTCGTAGGTAACTCACCCCGAGACGCTCACGATCTACATTTTTCTGTACGGGAAACAATACTTTAAAAACTGCAATGGTAGAAAGAAGGTTGACATAGGGACCCTTACTAGTACCGAAATTTTTCACTTAAACATTCAGTTGTCGAGTAAAGACTGTTTTATTGGAAGATGTAAAATAGTAACTTATTTAATAAAGACCACTGAAATGTCGATTAAACAAGAATTTTAGGATGCCTTACACTGTCATTAAAATGAGGGCATGATTGAAAGACTAATCTGAAGATCTCATCCCCCTGGTTAAAAATTAGCATTAGGTAAAACTGAACAAACAGAATTCATGCCCACAAACAAGTTTTTTAGGGGTTTAATAAAATTTCAATAGACTACCAAACAAAACCAACTAAAATAATCAAAGAACAAAAATTTGAAAGACATATAAAAGTATGATAATTAATTCTTCAACATAAATATTTGTGAAGTGAGGAACACGCTTATTACAAATCTTTTAGAAGTACTATACAGTCATATATGTGTTTTTTAAATTCTGTTACATCTTGTAAAGGGACCAAACTAGAATTTTTGATAACACTATGTGCAAACCAGCAAATATGCACTCCACAACTAACAGTATCTTTCTGCTCATCGAAATAACGCTTGGGAGTCCAATACTTGATTTCTGGAAATAGATTTCTCAAAAAAAGGGCAACAGCAATTAAGAATTTCTTTTCAAATTGAGACAGCAAGCTACCTGGGCTGAAGAGTGAATTGTACAGCCACAAGTAAGAGGTTGTGACTTCTGCAGCAATTATAACCCAGTGAATTTCACCATTACCTGGAAACAAAATCAATTGTTTGGACGCAAGTTTTAAATGAAGACTCTTGAAGTTTATATTTCCAACATAGAGCCTCTGAGCAACTGTTGTATCACAGGCAAAAACATTCTCATTAGATGTCATCTTGAGATAGACATTGATAACTTCGTCATACAAATAACCATGGACAAAGTTTGGATCAGCTTGCACGAGGAGGAGGTAATTCTTCTGAATGAATCGTTGAATGAAGCGCCTTTAAGTGGATGGATAACACTTTAATTCCCTGATATTCTAAAATAATACCAAGTGGATTACCACTATCTGTTATGGGTTCACCAACCAATACAACTTGGCGGCTCGTCATTCATTTCAAACAAAGGAGCTATATCTTGGTCAACTGCATAACGTCTCATGCATCGCCTCGAAACTGTCTCGAGAAAACCTCTGCGGTCTCTCCTCAATGACTCGTAGGTAACTCACCACGCGACGCTCACGATCTACATTTTTCTGTACGGGTTCTTTCTGCAAAAAGCTTTGCATATTTAGTCACTGATAATCTATTGAATATGTCTGTAGAACAGTTCATTCATACTGTTCTGAACTGTTTATGTATGGTGTTCACTAGTTGCCAGAATATCCTCATAACACTTTTGTAAAATTATGTATGTTTAATAAGTAGAAGAGTAATATTTTTTTTAAAAAAATGGCAATTATACACTTTAACATTAATTTATTTCAATTGTACCAGAAGCAAAACAAACTCTTTCATCCAGGAGCAGGGGTTAATTTGTGCTTGTTCCCGGTTGTTAGAGTCACCCTTGTATGTATATGCTGCTTGGAGAAACCGTTTGCCTGAAAGTCACGAGTGGCTGTAAAGGCATTCCATCAGTTCTAGATGTACACCATCATTCTGACTTTCTAACAAACAATTAGGAAGAAACGGAATTATTTAAACTTACAAGGTATTAAGACAACCAAAAATTCTTGAAAATATTCGATTCCTTGTGTTGCAGTTGGGCAGGCCGAATAAGAGATCTTTTAGGAAGTGGCTGGTTTATTCAGGTTTCCAACGAAGACTGACTATTTGACAGCCAGCTGAGCACAAGTAAACATCAGGCAGAACACGTGACATGACAATTGACTAACACATGAAGTCACGACCAATCACTGACAACCACAGAATAGGTGGAGGGAGGACCAAGAGGAAACGGGTTACAACACCTCGGAACTGAAATACATAGCTGTTAATATAATGACATTTAGTAGAAATGAATCAGCCGCAAACTAAATCTAAACATTGAATAGTATGCTTTAAGGCATGATAGCCAAAGTTTGTCACAGCAAAACAGCCGCAGTAAAAGTACTGGGGAGGTAAATGATTGAGAGGAAAGTTTGGTTGGACACACAAACTTCCACAAAGGATAACTAGCTATATGTATGCCAGACCACGTCTCGCGTAGCAGGCTTCGCGATATCTCACGAAACACTGTTTCGCTGCGACGCGCCCGGCGCACATAAAGCTAGGCCTGCGGCGCTGACACCCGAGATGGGGTAATAGGAGTGTATATACAATTTTTCGAAATGAAGTCTTCTTAACGACTTAACCGACCATTTGATCATTTTCACCTCATTTTAGTCAAGAATAATGCCCCCTAGCACCTAAACGGTACAAGATAGAGCCAAACGGACGTAATTTTCGCACTTTGACGGTTTACCCCTTAGGAACCCATTAAAAAATATTTGAGAAAAATACATTTTGCGACCTCTAGTTTTTGATTTTTTTAAAAGCCAATTTTGGAGCTAGAATGCTCATCTTCGAACTGTAACGTGCAAACTCGTCACCGTAATAGCCAGGCTACTAGAAACAGCCAACTAGCTCAGAAATCCCGAAACGGTAGAGTGGCGTGAGTATTTCGGATTTATTTTAAGGGCGCCAAAGGGCGCTATCCACGTCAAAAAGACGTAAAAATTTCGACCTGCGCTTTATTCGCGAAATGTATGTAGCCCTTGAGTAGCTGCACCAGGTGCTGCAATCCGTTTTGTGATATCTCAAACGGTTTCGCGTCAGGAGCGTTAAGAACAAGGCCCTCCGCCCCACCACCAAGTGACCCTCGGGACGCCTTTCCGCCCGCGGCGCCGCGCGCGTGGATGGCGCCAGAGGTAAAACCTCTCCAAAATGCATCACGGAGGATGTAGCACAGAATTTTATTGGCAAAGTCAGGTAGTAACACAATACAACAAGCAGGCCCGCCCTTCCGCCAAACGAAGTTGCCAGCTTCGCTTCGCTGCGCCGGCAAC